ATAGAATGATTTGTTCTAATGGTGTTTGTAAATAGGATCTCAAGTCCGCATCTTGTACAGCAATTAACCACTAAGAAGAATGTATGCAATGTGTTAGTTATTGAAACTGTCCTAGCGATTTGGTTTGAAACTGTCTCATTGCTATTTGTTTATCAATAAAATTATTTTTTAAAAAAGAAATAGCCATGTTTGTTTGAGTAGTGTGGAATTAGATAAAATATTTAAACTTATCAAGTGTTAGAAAAAAATCTGAGAGCACTGAGCAAGATACAGATTCCCTGAGTATTTTTATATTTGCTTAATACTGTCTTCAAAGGCATTCTTCTACAGTCAGCAAAACCACGTGCTTTCTTCTGTCAAAGGAAGATATGAAAATCAGAGTCATCACTTCTTATGAAAAATAATTTTTATGGATTTTTTTATGTGGTCTTAAGGGTAGCTCTAGAAAATATATTTAGACTTTATGAGACCCAAACTAAGTACCAAATATCAATACTATCCTGCAGTCCCATGCATTTCTCTGATGTGTCTCCAATGCCGTTTTCCTCTCGCAGTGTCTAAGACAGATGGGGAAGCTCATGACAGAGTGCTGGGCTCACAACCCCGCATCCAGACTGACAGCCCTGCGTGTGAAGAAAACACTCGCCAAAATGTCAGAGTCTCAGGACATTAAGCTGTGATGGAGAGGGCAGGATGCACTTCTGGGGAAGGCAGATGGATGCTTCACTGTGCATGGTGGAGCGCATGATGTGAAAGCGTCTTTAGTACCAGCCTTGAACGCCGTCCTCTCCCTCTTCCGAGGGCTCAGACCTCGCCTGCCTCTCCGGGAGCAGCCAGGTGGACCAGGAGCCCCCACAGGCAGGCTCTCCAGGTCTGTTGTAGGAGGGAGAAGCTGGGCGACTTGTTCAAGATATGCATGTTGCTTTCTAGGAAAGCCCTGGACTTTTGGTTTGCCATTTTTTTTTTAAAGATGCTTTAATTTTGCCAAAATAAATATTGTAGATGTTTCAAGGTTTATACTATTATAGTTTAAAGAATTACAACAAAATTTCTTCCCAGAAACTGTGTTGGGAGGTAAATTAAAATATGTCTTTCCATTGGTAACATCTTGCTGTACCTGGCAAACACAAGAGGGCCTGGGAAGTTCAAGAGAGACTGGAGCTGAGCTCCAGCACAGCTGCCCGGGCCTGCTCACACCACTTGACTGACTGACCCACCGCCTTGCCTCTGGGGCTGCCTTGCAGTGTGCACGGGCTGGGGACTAGTTCCGCCTGTGTGGGACCATGCTGTGGAATTTCTGAAACGGCTGTTGCAGCTGCGGACCAAGTTGAGTGCAGGAGGGCTCTGCGCCTCCCAGTGCTGAGGTGTTCTTATTCTGGTCCTGCTGGGCAGCTCTTTCATGGTAAAAATCTTCTGTTTTCATGAAACACAAGCTAAGTTGTTTTTTATGTGCAGAAAATGGACCTATGTATGGTTGTGGTCTCTCAAATCAGAAGATACTATTAAATAAAATGTCATTTGTTGTGTTAAAGACCCGGTGCTTTAGCACGACACTCACCTGTTCTCGTGGTGCACAAAGAATGCATCAGTGACATAGGGGAGGGGAGAGGGGCCCAGGTGGCCTTTACTTCTGCAAAGGGGCAATCTCAGAAGCACAAGGCAAGAAGGAGGCACACCTTATTTTGCATAGATAAGGATGGTTTTTGTTGTCTTTTTTTTTTCTTCTGTATCTGAGTTAAAGAATAGAGAAGTAACATTTGTCAGGTTACTTTCACAGAATTTTAATTTAAAAATAGAAAATATAACCTGCAGGTAGAATAACAAAGGAGAGTAGTGGGAGGCTGCAAGTATTATGGCTGCTGTGATTTATTATTCTATAATAGATAGGGATGGACTGTGGACGTCTGAAGTGCATATTTACACTTTAGGAATAGCAACTTATCCAACGATTCTCCCCGTGTTCTAGTCTCTATTTATTGTTCCCCCTTCTCTGCGGCACTTACGCAAAACATCTCTTCACTTACCAGGGTTTTCACTTTTGAGTACCGTGAGAAAGTAAAATCACTGACAGGCCTGGTGTTCCTTAGTAGTAGGTACATGATGAAGTTTGAAACTATTCGCATTCCTGTCGACTTTACTCATTTCGTTTTCTTACTATGGTTCTTCTTGTTAGAAATTCCTTAGTGCTTAGTAAGGAATTTGGAAGCACTCCGCAGTTGGCCTTGGAAGAAGATACTTCCTTCCAGAATACTCTAGGGGGCAGTGTTTCCTAATACTTTTCAGCACCCTTGCCTGCAGGATGGAGCAGTTTTTAGAAATGGACAGCTGCTTGGTAAATGAGAAAATCTTTTGCTCTCTCTGAAGTCAGCTCATCCTGAAGACCTCGTGGAGCACGGAGTGCAAGCCGTGCACACAGCCTGGAAAATCACAGAGGAACACAGTGACTGCCCAGGGCTCTGTAGCCACACTACCTTTCTTTACTAAGAAAGAATTTTGAATTGGAAGGGAATGCCATTTGAGAGTGCCAACAATTGGGTATGGATACACTTCTTGTCAGAACACTGTGCTTACTGACGCTCAAGTAGCCTCAGTAGGAGCATAAAGGTTTGTTTCTTGTGTCAGATTGTATCATTTATGATAGCACAGAAATAAGTCTGAGAATTATCGGAGATTTTGTGAGAAACTTAAGCACCTCTAATCAGGTTATCTGAAAACAAGAAAGTGAACATGTATTCCAGTGAAATGGTTCAATGGGCAGATGTTGGTATTTTTCACATTTTCCATGATTTAAAATAAGGCTTATCTTCTGGAAATAATGGTTTTTATTTTTTGCTTAATTCTTGAACACAAGCAGCTTAAAATCAGAATGTTGTGTAGGAAGGTGATGACTTAAAAATAACCTTGATTTTTAGGGTTCAAATGAAACAAAGGGGAATTTTAAAAGTAAACAGATTTATTCTATTTTATTTATTTTGTTGCTTGGGGGAAATCAGTAGCTTATCTTTAATCCAACTTGATTTTTCACTGTGAAATTTTAAAATTATTTCTGAGGTACCCAAAAAGACACACTTAGGTAGTATAGTTTTTGAATGAGACAAGAATTGAGTTTGAGTAGAGTTTTTCTGTCTTAGCAAAATCTGCTCTACTTAGGCAACACGCCTGTGTTCCTAATGACTGCCTGTTCACTTTCAGATAACCTTTTATGAGTTTTAAATGTCCAGTGGCTCAGCAGCGAATTTTATTTTATTATTATTTTGTTTTGTCTTTTAGTTAAATAAGTGAGAACCTGGAAAGAAGTAGTTGATTGCTTATTTTTCAGACTATTTCAGAAACTTTTTTAAAACTCCTCTCCCCCAGAGGAGTCCTGTGCTATTAATTGTTAGGTATACTTCATATACTAAGATGTCCAGGTCTGGAGCTTACGTATGTGTGTATATATTATATAAATACAGATGTACATATAAATATTAATTATGTTCAGTCTGGAGTCTGGCACAACTCCATTATGTGGTTAGAGAGTAAAGTATTATGGGTGATAAAGTACTAAATGAAACATAGTATTTATTTATGAAAGTGTGCAGATTGTTAAATAGGGAGTACTGTGCTGCCAAACTTGCCCGTGAGGGGACAGGCCGTGGACCTCCTGGAAAGAGCTGCTCACAAGTCATGAGTGACTGTTTTGTGTTTTGTGCTTTGTCTGTTTTTTAATTTCTCCAGCAGAAAGCTTCTTAGAAAACATGCTGAGATTTTATTTACAGGGAATTCTGCAACACATTTCAATTGGTGTGTAGTCAAGTATAGCAAGTGCTCACTAATAATGGCGTTTCATGCATATTCATTAGGGGTTTTACGTTGTTGATCTGTTCTGGCTCTTCTTTGTTTGTTCGTAGACAGGCACAGAGAGGACAGTTTTTAAAACTTGAACATGTTCGGTAGTTACACCTCCTCAGAAAACTCAGTCCCGCAGCCGTGGAAATGAAAGCAGTGGCATCAAAAGTGATTTGGTTTAGCAATTATGATTTCTCTTATAAAACACAGTGAACAAAAAAAAATGCTATATTTTTTGTAGAGAAGTTGGCAATATATAGGAGATTTGTTGTCTGTCTCAAAAGAAGAGTCATCTGTGTTCTTTTGGGGAACCAGTGCCTTACAGAATTTGTACATACTGTAATTATTCAGGACTAGGGAACAAACAATTGTATTGTATTTGTTACAAATTGTATATGGCTTTGTTTTAACATTCCCTTAAATAAAATGGATTCATTCTTCCCATAGAGAAAACATGACTGTCGGCTTGTGTTTGTGCCTGTTTTTTTTTGTCTTTGAAAACCTCCCATTGTAGCAGGCTGGAGGCAGCAGCAGAGTGTTGGATACTGGTGTGTGTGTGTGTGTGTGTGTGTGTGTGTGTGTGTGTGTGTTCTGACAGCAGGGCAGGAAAAATGTCCTGCCACTTCTGTTTCTGTGAAGTAAGGAAGCACGGACATCTACCCAGATAAGAGGAAAGACAGCAATCAGTAGTTTGAGGGAATTTCAAAAAATTACAGCTCGCTGGGCGCAGTGCCGGCTGGTGTGGGGCATGCTGAGGGCTCACTGAGAGCTGGCTGCTGTGCAGCTGGAGCCTGCAGCGGGGTCTGGCCCACAGCCAGCCCATGTGTGAGTCCAGGCTCAGGCCTGGTTCTGTGCCCCGGGCACGTTCGGAGCTCTCGGAGGCTACCTCTGCCCTTTGAAGATGGGAATATTGATGTGTAACAAGCGGAGTTATTCTAAAGCTGCAGTAATCCTGGCACCAAGCGTGTGGTCAGCACCCAACTATCACTGCTAGCAAAGCAGACAAATTTACAGCGCCCCTTTTTCTGTGAGGCTTGTGATTGTGCTTGCTGCCAGCAACCCCATAGAGGCACAAAGCCTGGACTAATTTAAGGTTGGGATTTCTCAGTCATGGGAGGCAACACATGCTGGAAAATAAGAATTAATAATATCAAAGATCTATGTGGGATAGGTAGAGGAGGAGGGCAGGAATCGAAGCAAGGAGGCAGACTGGAAGAAACTGAGTCAAAGGCTGGGATCCTGATGAGCTCGAGTGGTGCCTTAGCAGTTGCTGAGAGAGGCACTGAGTCAGAGACAAGTTTGACAGGACAGCTAAGGACAGGCTGAGGTGTGCTCAAGGGAGTGAGTGTATTTAAGTGAGTGGACAAGATCATTGGTGATTAGAGAGGGAGCCGAAGGCCGGGCTTTGGGCTGTGCTGTCCCGTGGATGTGGCCTGCCTGTGATAATGACAGGCTTGGGGAGATTGCAGAGCAGTTCTTCAGGAGCACAGGGAGACAGGGAGTGGAGAGAAGAGATGCAGGCTTAGTGTCGTGTGCTGCAAGGGCTTTAGGTGGAGTAGTGATGACCTTGGAGCGATGACTGTATGAGAAATGCCTGTGCCCGTTCCCAGCTGCACAGCACCTAAGGTTTGTAAGGATGAGGCTGCATCTGGAGCATGGAGAGCTCTGTGTGAGCACAAGGAAAGGTAAGGGTGGCTTGTGCGTGGACTGTGAACTCTGGAGGGCAGGTGGCTGATGGGTTTCGAGAGGGCTCCTTGAGATTTGGGAACTCCACAACTGCTGGAGTGTGGGGACCCCAGAAGGGCTTACACTGTGGACACCTCCCCACCCTCAGGGGCCAAAGCACGTGTGTGTGAACTGCCATGTGGCCAAGAGAATGCATTCCACTGTTGGGGTTCACAGGGAGCTAGCACAGATCCCCTCATCTCCTTTCCCAATTTTGCAAAGGTGCAGTGTCTCTGATCGCTGATCTTCTCACCTGTAAACTGGGATAAAAATGCCTACCCCCTCCCCCATAGAACTCTGGTGAAGAACTGATGAAATGACTGTGTGAAGTGGGGTGCCCACCCCAGGCACATGTAGGTACTCATAAACATGACCCTTTCTTTTTGGTATTGGTTTTCCTGGATATAAGCTAAGCAACATGAACACACACAGATATGCTGGTGGGACTCTTCCCACACTTCTCTGTGCTGTGGTTCTAGTCAGACTTCCTCCAGGACTCAAGGGTAGACAGACAGGAATCCCCACTGGTTTACATGGGCTTTCCTCCTGATGTTGTCCACTTAGTAAGGGGCAGCTTGGTTATGCCATCTGTCACAGAAGCTGCATACAGATGCTGCTGCTTTCAGAACTATTTCTGCTCATCAGGCTGTCCTTCAGCTTCTAATCCAGCAGTAGATCTATGGGTCTAGGAAAGGTCTAAGGCAGAGGCCAGAATCCTCACACCTTCCAGTCGTATGTTAGTGAATCCTGGAAGAGGTGCTGGGGTCAGAATCAAAATTCACAGGGCACAGCAAAGACTAAGGACAGGCTGAGGGTGTGATCGAGTTATGAGACATGATATGTTATAGGGTATGACAGCCACATGTAGGCAGCAGGGATGGACACCAGGAAAGGGCACTTCTGGGAACTCCCCATGGGCTCAGCTGGGAGGTGGGCTTCTGTTCTGGGCTTCACATGCTCTCCTAGGCATGGTGGTAACTCAGCAGGTGCCCCCAGCTACTAAAGCCCCATGTGGCAGGCCAGTGGGCCAGTCCCAGGTCAAACCAGTGTTTATATGTGTTCCTTGGGAACTACAGATTGTTTGCTTTTAGATCCAATTTTCAACCTTTCAGTCCTAGGCTTGCCACTGATTCTGTCCACATTCCGGTTTGCGTTTTCTCCTTACTCCCATAACCCAGAAGGACCACTGGAGTTGGGATCCAAGCCCTGAGTGGAAGGCTGGAGGCCACGCCTCACCTCATGGTAGCAGCTACTTTGCGCCTCCTACCAGGGCTGCCCCTGGCTCGCTGTGAGAGCCTGATGGGTCCTGCACCACGCTGAGCAGGTCTGGTGGTCTCCACAGCTCAGAGCCTCATCAACCCTGGGCCTCATCTGGGACTTTCTACCTGATGGAGCAGGTGTTTGCAGACTTGAAAACTGGACCTGTGAGGGTGGGACCTGATGCCATTCCCAAGCAGGAATGTGTCGGTGCAGATGTTCTGAGATGCCGGCGTCCTCTCCTCCCTGCTCCCCAGTCCCACCTGACACCTTTTCAGTCTAGGTGCTTAAGCTGCACCCAAACCATCTAAACCTGAATATCTGGCTTATACCCCAGGCATAAGTTTTATTTTTATTTTTGAGGCTGCTGGGGATTGAACCTAGGGCATCATGCATGCTAAGCAAGCGCTCTACCACTGTGTGGGTTTTTCAATCTCTTGTGATTTCATTGTGCAGCAGTGTTAGAGAAATACCATTCTAAAACTTCATCTTGTCACTGAGGGAAATATGATGGCCCCATACAGAATCCGGAGGCTTTTGTCCTATTGAAGAAATGCTTGACACCTTTACCATGAAGAATGACTTGTTCCGAAGAAGCAAGGGAGGAGACAATCTCTATTGCTTATAAATATAATTTATTACCTGTTTAAAAATTCTTTCTTACATTTTGTACATGTTGGCTGACAGAATAAATGCAGGCAATTTACAAACCAAGGGGACTGCAGGAAAAATTTGGGAGAGGCAGCCAGGAAGAGAAAAGAGGCACACCCAGAGCTGGGACCTCCACCACACAGCATGGTGACGGGTGGGCAGGATGCCCAGGGAGCACACCACCTCCACCAGGGAGTTTTAGAAAAGGAATTGCATAGAAGATACAGCAAGAGGGAACTCCACAATAACAAAAAACAGTGTTTTGAATGAGAGAAGCTAAGGTGGTGGCTTCCTGTTTTAAAAAGAAAAATGGCAAAGCACAAAACCTCAGTTTGACATTTCTGCAGTTGAACTGTTCCAAAGAAGGCAGCACGAGGATGACCCAGCCTCTTGACTACAGACTGCTGGGGAGTTTTCTCTGACAAGCATTGGTTATCTTCTTTAGGAAGGGCAAAGTGGAAGGTTACCAACTTGCAACAGCTCAACATTAAAACAACGGAAACAACACCGTGACATCCAACACACACAGTGATGGCATTCCCTGCAGCTGGGCTAAACACACTTTGGAGGGTGAGGGCATTGCTACCAATAGAAGTGTGAGTCTAGGAGAAGAGCAAGTTCTAATTGCAGTCTTGTTTCTTTTCCAAGGCATAGAGAGTATGAAAGGGCAAAGGCATTTTCCACGGGTAGTAGGTTTTTTTAAATGCTGTCTTTAAAGGTTTAACATCTCGGATGCAGCTCAAGCCAGGATTCTTTCATGCTGCCTCACCATGGTGCTGAGGATCAAAGACCACGAACTAATCACCAAGAGCTTAGGGTGCTGATCAGTGAAACCCGCATATGGTGCATGTTCTAAACCGCAACCCAGTTCTTTCAACCCTGGTCGATATCATCAGATTCCACAGCAGGTCTGATAGTGCTTCCTTCAGGAGACTTTGGAATTTAAAGATGGCACAGGATTTAGGCTTATTGTAAGAGACCCCTGGAGTGTTATGACCTACTACTTACAATTATAACAAAGCACGAGTCTGAAATGGTCTGATGAAAAGTTTGTGTGCAGTAACATGGCTGGTGGGCAGCAGCTGAGTGGGCCACAACTGTTGTTCATTTTCTACAGGATTTCCAGCTTAGGACCTTAGAAGATCTCTGGACAGATTTCTTTAGTATAGAAGAGCCTGAGTACACAGAGGACTGCGATAAAGCCTCTGTAACTTCTTTGTGTGTTCATACATTGCAGAGAGCCTTTCTGTTTGGCCTGTTGATGATTCTCCAGCAAGAAGAAAATAGGCTTGAGGCATACAGCACACTCAGTAGAGTGAGTCCATTACTGCCCCACTGCGGGTCAGAAGAGAGGCAGCCATGCCCATGCAAAGTTCTAGAGCCGTGAACTCTTCCGAAGATAAATTTTCAACATAAGATTTCTGAAAACATGGGCAGCCATTTGGCTGATAAGATGGAGGAATCAGGGAGTTCAATGTTAGTCTGTAGAGAAAATCCACGTAAGTGACATACAAGACCATATCCCTAGTTTTCAAAAATAGGTTTTTTTAAATATCACAATCCTGGAAATACTTAGAACTTCATTTACTCAGCCTGCATGGACATGAGCTTAAATTAACATTGGTTATTTATTTTCCATGTTCCTTATTTCATTAAAAAATCATTAAAGATTCAAGGGAAATCTTTCAAAGTAATCATTAACAGCTACGGATTATACAAATAGAGCTCTTAGGGTAGAGAAACAGTATTTCATTGCACAGAGGGAAAGTTCGAAGGATTTCAGTCAACATTAGCTCAGTACATTTAAAAATATAAAAATAATACAAAAGGAAAAACAAAGTATAATAGTTGGTCCTATGAGGCACTCGAAAGATAAAAAATGTTATTACCTTGAGATAATTGATAAAAATATTTCTTATTGTATTTATAAAATCTAATGCTCATTGGCTATGTTCACCTGTACAAACAATTGGTCTTGAGCCATGCCATCCGGACTCACAGAACTTCTCAAAGGAGATGGCTAGGGCCCAGCTTCCCCTCAGTTGTGTCAGTGACTGCCTCCTTCTCTTCTCTGCCCTTGCCTGGGCCTTGAAGATTATACACAAAATTAACGACTTGTTTAGAATGCTGCTCAGCAACACAACAATTCACATTCAACTTACACACTGAACACAAACCTTCTCTACACACCCTCTCAGGCCTTCAGGCAATCTGACTGGCCCTGGGAGTCACCCTTCTAGAAACAAGAGCCTGGGGGTGCTGAGGAAGCAGTGTTCACTTTCCTGGATTCCCATCTTCCTGTGTGGATTGCAGTTGAATGGCCCAAGGGCCCAGCCACACAGGACACAGATGACAGACTTACCTACTTTTGCCCAGGAGATGGGAAAAGGCTGAGTTGTACCTCTGAATGTTTGCTTTTAATGTATGTTGCTTCTAGGAGAAATATCTTTGAAAGCCCATACCTGAATGCCTACATTCCACAGTGCCCTGAACTTGGGCTCTGACTTTTCCCTAAAGAATGGCTAACGTGATGCACTTTAACATCAGACACCTCAAGGCTGACAATGCCCTGCCCTTGAAGAGCTCTCAGTGCTCTGGTGGAGACACAGGTCCCCTGTGTAACAAGGCGAGTGTGTCTGCAGGAATGCACTGGTGGGTGGGTGGCTGCTACCTGTGAGCTCTCTGGTGTCGCACAAGCTTGTCAGCATCAGGTGTCTAGTCAGCACCTGAATCCAACCTGATTCCTCCCCAATCACTGAGCAAATGTGAATTACTATAGTGAGGATAAAGTGAAAACAGCACGAAGCCTTTGCTGTCAGCCTCACAAATTCAGAGGAAGCTTTTCTCTTCTCCTTCCTCAACAACCAAAATTTTTCTTCCTTAGACTTCAATTTCATGTATAAGACTGACTTCCTTCTACGCAGATACATCCCACATTTCTGAAGGTAAATAGTAGGGAACTGAAAGAAAAATGACTTAAAATACACAAAGTCCAATGGAATCACAGACGTTAAAATGACAACTTTCAAAGACATAGGTTTTAGGTTTCTACTACAAAGAAGCCACTTAGGACATGGATAGATGGGTTGATGAGGCTCATGATGACACGTTCTTTTGAGAAGCGTGATTTAAGTGAAAAAAAGCTGCGCGATTATTACAGATTCAAAATGAAACACTCCCCACCCCCCCACCTGATCCCCAGAATTGTTGTCATAAAAATCCTGCTTACAGGTAGGTATTCATTCTCTATTTGAAAACAACTTTTAGTGATAAAGAGCTAACCCCAGAGTTGACTGTACTGTGGGCCACTAGATGGCACCATGCACAAACGATAGTTTTTCCATCCCAGTGAGGGCAGCTGGGTTCTGCTCCACCACTGTGTGGAAGCAGGAGGGCACACAGGATGATGAAGTAGCTCCTGTGAAATGAACTGTTGTGTTCGAACCTTCTAAGTTGGAGAGCAATCTAACAGCTATTACTTTCCTTGAAAAGGAGAAGGAAAAGCAGAATTCTCAGTGAAATTTCTTTGACATATGGGGTATTCTATGTATGGAAGTTGTCATTCACTTAATAAGAAACATAGCAGTTTCGTGATAGATGCTTACCTCACATGGAATCAATCACTTTTCCCTTTGCCAGTGGTGGGAGGTTGAACCAAAAACCAAGCATCTGAGGTGAATTCCAACAGCCCTCACTGGCCTGCGTGCCAGGTATGCGCAGTATTTCTGTGTTGGTTATTTTTAATCAAGGCTTTTAGTAAAAGTTCGGGAATTGATTCATCTGGATAGATAAAGTTTTGCTCCCTTCTGCCTTTCTTGTAGCATACAGGTTTCCTTGAGCTCCCAGTTCATGATTTCTCCAGATGATTCCCCGTCATGAGCAATCTTGACAAGTTAGTTTTATTTCAAGATGCATGAATGGAAAATCACTTTTTCTTCATTTTGCTTTTTAAAGATTGAAATTTTAATTTAGAATCCATCTTTATTCATCGATACAAACACTACCTATTGGACTTGTTGATTAGTGCAATCTCCCCCTTCCACAATCAGTGCAACCAATAATTTTATATATGGAAATTTTAATGAACAGCATGGCCAGAAAAACAGTTCATGGATTATCTGTCTAAAACTGAAGATAAGAAAGAAATGGTACATAAGAAGAGGCTCTGTGACAAGGTATCAATGGCTCCTTAATAAGAGCGGAAGAGTCTGAGGATATTAAGTGATCAAAACAGGAGTAGGATATATGTAGGATGATGACAAAAAGTGTATAAAATGATTGTTAATTCAGATGCAGTTAGCAACATGGGACCTCCAGCCCTACAAACATCACAATCATGTTCTAAAGGATCCTATCCAAGCCCAGGATGTTTCTCATTCAGTCTTGGTTTGGCTCCCAGATTTTGTTGACTCTTCATTCCCGATGCTGGGCAAACTGAGTCCCTATGCTAAAGAACCTGTGATGGTCTCTTGGAAACTGCCGTTGACACTAAGTAGTCTGTTGGACAACATTTTATAGGACAAAAGGGACTAATTAACTTTTGTAAATGCTACCAAACAATGTTAAAGCAAAGTTTGAAGAGAAAAAAAAAATGCACCAAGTTTCTAGTAACAGATTTGTAGGAATGGTCTTGATGCTAACAGTTCAAAACAATAATAAAAATTTAAAATTAGTTAGGTCCTATGAGAGAGGAGAAAAAAATTATAAAGTTAAGACTGAATGCTGAACAAATACATTGCAGGTTAGAATTTTCTTCCATGTCAAAATTATTCAAAAAGCATATTACAGCCTGAGAAAAAGACTAGCTGACTATGTAAAAGATTCAAGTCAGAGTTCATTGTCATTTTCAGGCTGATGAATGAGAGACTGGAGGCCTCAAATAGAAGGCCACCATGATCAAATTCATGATGATCTAATCTCATCCCTGTGTTACAGGTAAGGAAACCAAGCTCCAGCGAATTTCAGTGCTTTTCACAATGCAGTAGCACAGCCAACCTGTGCCAAATCCAGAACTAGTTTTCTGATTTCCGGTTCTGAGGCAATTCCCCCAGTCACACTACTCCTCAGGTAGGCAGGGCAGCCTGGCTTTGGGGTTCAGTGCTGGGCCACACAACCACAACATTAAGTGAACTTCTAGGAGAACACATCTGAAGGACTCAGGAGAAAGACCCTGCTGGAGCAAGACAAACGCACAGATTGATAAAGCCTGTGAGGTGAGCCTTTACTACTTTTCTCCAGGGCAGGATGACAAGGTTCAAAGGCCAATGAAGCAATGCTGATCAACTGAATTGGTGACCACGCCCAACCTGGTATGTGAGAGAGTGAGGCAGGTCAAGTTAATACCACGTAACTAACAATAGTGCTAACAAAACCCAAAAAGTTAAAAGAAAATTCTCTTACAATACTTGTAGATACTTGATAATAATACTTAAAAAAAAAACACTTCGAATTGCATGTTACAAGCACACACGTCCTGAAGAAATGTTTGTGTGGTTAAACGTGAATCACTCTCTTCCCTGCAATACTATAGCTTTATTCACGAAGGGTGCTTGACAGGTCCCCTGCCAAGGCATAAGGAATCTTTTTTGTCTTTTGCATTTCGATGCTCCACTTCCCTGATACAGACAATAACACTGGTTCTACAAGTTCTAGAAACAGAACACTCATGGAGGATTATCTGAGACACGTGATGTATGCGATTTGTATCAAAAGTCTGTGATTTCTCTGTAAATGACTAATCTGAAATACACAACAAACCATCCACAGCTTCAACTTCAAATGATCTGAACAAAAATAGAGCGAGCCATGGACAGCATCTGCATCCCTGTCCAATTTGATGTAAACAACGTTTGTAGAAATTGGGTTTGTTAAGAAAGTTTATCCATATATCTGGATAGCAATAAAAAGCGTTTCCTAGGAAACTGTAAGATCCTGTACCATATAGCATACAGCCCAACTAAGAGGAAAATTAGGTTGATTTCCAAATTTAAGCTACAAATTTACACAATTTTTAACTCCCGTGATGCTGTCCGAGTAAAGTGGGCATGTACATTGGTAGGTTGTATCTGTTTTCCTTCTCGCTGCTGCCATCTTGCCTGTGAAGCTCATTGGTCTGATCTGGGTCTCTTCCCCAGCTGTGTTTCCCTGGATAGCCACAGATGCCCTGTGCATTCTGTCCTTCATTTTTAGTCCCAGTGTGGTCAGTACTGCCCTTCTGCAGCTAAAGACACTATTGTTTCATGTCTTCCCATTTCTTCCAAGACAGCTGCCAGCATGCTCAGATTTCCATCGGGGAAGTTCTGTGCTTCCCAAAGATCCAAGATTACACCAGTTGGGCTCGATTTGGTGGCAAAGTAATTCAAGTACCTGTTGGGAATGGGGAAATGTGCTGAGAGGCAAGATTTATAAATCTGTTTTCTTCTTTTCTGGGCCTTGAAATACCTCGATCCCACTGTAGTTTCCAGGGAGCAACCCTAAATGACTAGCACACACCTAATCAGATCAGCCTCAGACAGGAGACATGATTTTTAACTTTGTTAACCTTAACTCTGAGTAAGATAATTTAAGAGACAAGATGGCTATGGGTCGTACCCTAAGGAGGAAATCAAGAGACTTATGTTTTCTTTCTAGCTTAGTCTCTGAGGATCTCGACAGGTCATGCCGCTCCTTTTCTCGGTAGTGATGGCAACGCTCTATAGAGTCCAGGTTCCCAAGTTCTCTTTGTGGCTTACTGTCAGGGCTGCGTTAACAGGTTAATTATCTCTCAAGCACTAGGCTCTGTTCAACTGGAGATGAGAAACAGAATTACTGTAGTGAATGAGCTATTAGGGGGATTTAGCCCATCAGTTTGGGAAAGCGGATCTCAAAACTTGGTACTTATATATGTCAGACAAAGCCTGAGTATCTCTGAACTCTGTTCACAAGCCCATGGTGTTAGGTACATAGAAGGTGCTTAATACATATTTGCAGAATGAAAAGTGGATGGGTGGGAAAAATGGATGCTGTCTTATGTGTAGCAGTTATTATCCTGGAAAACTTTGTCTAACAGATTGTGGAGCCAGGCCACACCTACCTGTCCAGGTTGAGCTTGTGGGCCAGCATCCTCCAGTCATGGCCTCGTGTCTGGGGTGCATCCAGACTGCTGCAGAGCTTCTGCCGGATAGGGAGAGGGATGCTGAATGCACTCGGCCCTGTGACAGTGGTGATAGTGCTGGCTGGATCCAGCAATGGCAAATCGATGCCTGTGGGTTCCTGCAGGAATGACATGGCATTATTTCTGAAGACAAAAACAATCCTTGTTGAACCAATCAACACGATGTGTTCCTTGAGTGAGGAAGCAAACAAAGAGAGCTATCATTCTCCATCCTGTCCTCTGAGGTACATTTTGAGCTAGTTTTGCATAGCCTTGCATTTATGGGTCTTGGGTCAGGGCTTAGCTAGCTGTAAAGCTCTGGTGTGTTTCAGTAACAACTTTTCTAATGGGGCTCTGTAGGAGGGAAGAGAAGGGAAGTGGGGGAAGGGAAAGGGAGAATGCTCCGGGGGGGTCAGATTTCAAGAGAGGAAAATGTTCAAAAGGGCAGTTCTTTGAGAATGAGCAGATCTGGAGCTTCTAGGTCTGACCTTGAAGAGGGTGCCCTGGCAGGGGCCCAGTAGCTCTGCTGCCAGCCTGGGAAGGTGACTGACTTACGGGGGTGAAATGGAACAAGGCAGAATGATATTAGGACAAAAATTTTAAGGAAATCAGTATATTACCTCAGGGTGAGTTGCTAATGGCATCCTCCAATTGCTGAACATCTTTTTTTTTTTTTTTTTTTTAGTCTAATTTTAGTAGAGAAAACTATAAATTGGCGCTTAAAATAGTTTCAGCTCATAAAACAGCACAAATGTAAAGCTCTGAATTTCATCTGCAAGAGAAACTCTAATCATTTTCTAATCACTTCTTCTGGCTAGAAAAGCAAAAGCAAATGTTGCCTGGGAACTAGTAAAGCAATAAAAGAAAATCTACTCAATCTTAGGGTGCATAATTAATTGCTAGAGGATGAGTAGCCACAGAGATCCTCAGCCTTCCTGAAGTCTGATGTCTTGGGCCTAGTGCTAAGCTGGCGTCAACGCCACTGTTAGCTGGAGTGCCCCCACCAGCCTGGACAGCCTCAGTGCCCTCTGCTCATGTGTGAGTGCTGTTGCTGGGGGGAAGGTGGGGTCAAAGCACCCTTGCAGGGTGACTCAGTGTGTCCTGTTTTCTAGGCTTGGGTAATCCCACTACAAAGGGCCCAGCCAGGGGTTTTGACAGCATTTTAGAGGGGCCATTACCATTAATTGCGGGGGCCATCGTATGAGCAGTGGTGTTGGCTGCTGTCATAGCGTTTGGCCTCACAATCTAAATCTCCCTTCTAGGGGCTCCTTTGTGCCGGCCCCAGCACATACCATGATTTAAAGAACAGTGATGTGTGAATGCGGACTGTGGCCCATAGCTCTTCCCCTTAGCACAGGGATCTTTCCAAGGGACAGGAGGAGAGAGAGTTCCTGACCTCCAGAATATACTTTCCAGAATGGAAAGCAGAAGAGTGAGCTGAGGGCACATAACAGTATTTACTAAAGAGCTGAATGAGATTGTGTCAACCCAAGGGTTCCAATGCTTATATTAAGTGCAGAACAATGTGGGCGTAGACTGAGTGGTGGAGGCAGAAAAAGCTCATGCTGTTTCCACAAATTAGTGCCATCACCCAGGTTGAAGTTCTTTTTTTTTTTTTTTTCTAGACAATAAGACTAATTTAAAACCTACCAGTTCTCTGATATAAGGCCACCATAATTGTCCCTGGGTGGCTGTGGTGGTTGCAGTGTGCATGAGGAAGAATAAGCTTTAGAGTGCTAACTCGTGTCTCCAGGAGTGTCCTCATTACTGTTAGCCACAGTAACTCCCTACTGCCTACCTGTAGTGCACGTTGTACATCCACCGGACTGAGCTTCCTACAGTGCTCAGGATGGGCACCAGTATTTCCCGGTTGCCTTTCTCTTACTCTCTCATTTAAAAGTGGTAAATGCTCCTCTCCTGCATGAAATCTCAACCCTTCCTCATTTCCTGTATTAGGATGTATTAATCGGACATTGTAATGGGGTTCTGTAATAATTCCATATATGCATTAAAACACGTACCAATCAAACCCAATGACACCATGCCCCAATCTCCTCAAATATATGAACATTTTTCATATATTTATTGGTTATTCATATTTCTCCTTTTGTGAAGTGTCTATTCAGATCATTTGCCCATTTCCAATTGTATTGTTTGGGTTCTGTTAACTTTTTGAGTTCCTTATACATTCTGGATATCAACCCTCCTTCTTTGGAATAGCTAATAAATATTTTCTTCTGTAGCCTGGCTGTGCACTCTGCTGATTGTCTTTCCTTTGTGGTACAGAAGCTTTTTAGTTTGGTGTAATTCCAGTTGTCAATCTTTGCTTTTGTTTGCCATGCTTTTGCAATTCTATAAAGAAAACCAACTTTTACACAATTGTCTTGAAATGCTTTCCATTTTTTTCCCCAGTAGCTTCAGTTTCAGGTCTTACATTTAGATCTTAATCCATTTTGAGTTGATTTTTTAAAATACTGGTCAGGATAAGAGAAAGGGATCAAGTTTCCACTTTCTGTAGGTAGGAGGTACTCAAGTTTTCTAGTGCCATTTATTACAGAGGTGATCCTTTCTCCAGTATGTGTTTTGGTTCCTTCGTTGTGAATTAATTAATTGCATTTATGTGGCTTTATTTCTGGGACTTTTATCCTGCTGAACTGGTCTGTGTGTCTTTTATATGCTGTAGGACTTTTACTCTTCTGTTCCAGTTAGAGTAGCTCTACAGCATATCTGCAATGGAGATATTGTGCTGCCTCCATCTTAACTTTTTGCTCATGATTGTTTTGGCTATTTGGGGTCTTTTTGGCTTCCGTATGAATTTTCTTTTTTTCTAATTCTGTACAGAAAGTATGGCATTTTGCTGAGGACTGAGATGAATCTGTAGATTGTTTTGGTTAATATAGCCATGTTGACAATATTGATTCTTCTTACAATCTATGAACATGAGAGACCTTTCCATTTTTTCATGTATATTTTTGAGTTTTTAAATCAGTTTTGCAATTTTCATTGTAGATGTCTTTCACTTCTTTGGTTAAGTTTGTTCCTAAGTTTGTTATTATTGAAACAAATACAAGTAGCTTACATAGATAACATTTTTATTATGACTTCTTATCCACAAATTCATTATGTATAGGAAAGCTACTGATTTTGCATGTTGATCTCTACTGAATTCATGTATCTATTAGTTTCTTCTGTATATAGATTCATAATATGTACAAACAGGTATAATTTGACTTCCTTTCTGGATTCTTTGTCTTTTATTCCTTTATTTAACCTAATTATTCTGGTTAAAACTTCCAGAACCAAGGCCAGCCAAATAACTCAGTGGATTAAAGTACTTGCAAGCAACTGTTTGATCCAGGAATTTGATCCCCAAGCCTGCAGTGCCAGCCCCCCCCCCCTGGGGTCCACTGAGATGGCGACTGAGACTGGGTGTGGTGGCCTGCACCTGTAATCCCAGCTCTTGAGAGACTGTAAACAGGCAAATCATGAGTCCAATCTAGTAGTGAAACTCTGAACACCCTGTAGACTCTTCCCTAAAACACACACAAAAAATCAAATAAAATAAAAAAAATAAAACTTCCAGAACCATATTGAATAAGATTAGTGAAAGTAGACACCTTTGTCTTGTTCCTGATCTTAGAGGAAATGCTTTCAGTGTTTCAGAATGATGTTTTCTGTGGTTTTGTTATATATTGTCTTTATTATGTTAAGGTATGATCCTTTTATACCTAATTTGTTTAAGGCTTTTCTCATTAAGGGATGTTGAATTTTATCAAGTGTTCTTTCAGTGTCTATTGAGATGATCACATGATTTATGTCCTTTATTCTGTTGTCCAAGGGCCTCTGTAGACATAATGGTGGGAACAGTGAGTATCCTGTATGAGCCAGGCCACTGTCACATTCAGAAGGGGCAACCTGAGGCAAGGTTGGAGGGATACTATAAAGGTGTGGAAGTCCACACGTGTGGTGCCATTACTTCACATCAGGTATGGCCTGTGTACTTCCCAAGTGCATACTGCCTTTACTGATTTGCATATATTTGATAATCTTTACATCCTGGGGATGAAACCAACTTCATCATGGTAATGATTTTTTTTATATGCTGTGGAATTCAGTTTGCTAGTATTTTTTGTTGAGAATATTTACATCTATGATCATTAGCAATATTGGCAATGGTTCTTTTGTTGTATCCTTTTATTTCAATAGCAAGGTGTCTTAGTTACTTTTCTCTGATTGCTGAGACATAATACCTATCATCCAATGTTAAAGGAGAAAAGATTTATTGGCTCATTGTTTACACAGGTTTTAGTCCACGGTCAAATGGCTGCAAGGCAGGGAGGCATGAGAAACAGGCATTGCAGAGGAGAAACAGTCCATGTCTGGTGTGAAGTAGGAGTACCGCATGAGTGGTCTTACACACCTTCACAGTCTCCCTCCAGCTTTGCCTCAGGTTGCCCATTCTGAATGTGACAGTGGCCTAGTTCATACTACCCTCACACTGGACCCTCGCTATTCCCACCATTTGTCTCTGGGGAGCCTCCGACTGTTCTGATGCCTTTCTGTTGATCTCAGGAAAACCGGTCAAAGGCTGCCCTCTGCCTGGCCTGCGCCCTTCTGCTCCCCAACAGAGGCTGAGGAGGCCTCCTCTGACACTTTCAGTAGTCTTCTGCATTCTCCCCCTTCTGCCCTGTGGTTGTATTTCTGTATTATTTAAGTCCTCAAATTTCTCAGAGGTGAGAGTATTGCTGTCATTGTTAAGACCCGTGCATGCAGAAGCTACTCAGTGTTTCCTGAAATGAGAGAAAATATTTTTTCCTAGCACAGGAAGAAGATGAACCCAAGTCCTGACTATGCGGAACCACCCTGGGCTAATGTGCTGAGCCACCTTCCAACAAAACAGGCCCGGGATGAGTCTCATCACCAACTCCTGGAGTAACCGGACAATGAGACATGGGCCCTTAGGGAGCCTGCTCGCATATTCATGTCCATCTTTTCTTAGTGAGGAAAGAATGCCCATTTCTTTTTGTGAGCATCCATATCCTGAGCCTCCAACCCTGCCTACTCTGCTTGTTTCTTTTGATGTAAGGGACACAAACTCAACAGGCACCATTTCATGTCTCTCTTATCAGGGGCTGACAGTAGCCTTCAAGGTAAAAGAAAAATGCATACATACATTTACATTTCATCCTGTAATTTTACCTGCCATTAGGTTTTTTCTTTACTTCTAGGTAAGAGGAGGGATTACTCTCACAGAATGCTTATTACAATAATCGTTTATGATATTGGTACCATCTGTCTTTGATGTTATGATTCCCTTAGTTACACATACGATTTTTCACCATTAACCAAGCGGCTGCCGGGGCTGATGGCACACATCTCAGCGCCCCGTGTGCTCAGCATGCATGTGCACTAGTGCTGTGCTGACCCCACCCTCCTCAACACTTTTTCATTTTATTACACAGAATCTTGTTATGTTTCCCAGGCTTGCTTTGATCTTTCAGGCTGAAACCATCCTCTTGCTTTACCTTCCCAGGTAGCCACAACTATAGGATCATGAGATCATTACTACCTTCTAACTTTTTCAGAAACATTTCAAGAAACTATACTTTTTCTATGGTCATCTTGAACGGCTTACAGAAAATAGAAGAAGTAAGTAGCTAGAGCAGCTGGAGCAGGGGGATGTTACTTCTTTCTTTTTTTTATTTTAGGGAAGGGTCTACAGGGTGTTCAAGGTCTCACTACTAGATTGGACTGATAGTGATTCTCCTGTTTACAGCCTTTCAAAAGCTAGGATTACAGGCGCTGGCCACCACACCCAGTCTCAATCTCCATCTCAGCATGCTTTGGGGGCGGAGCCGGCACTGCAGACCTGGGGATAGAACCCCCAGCCCCTGCTCCTGCTTGCAGTCACTTTAATCTGCTGAGCTATTTGGCTGGTTTTGTTACTTTCAACATTTGTCATAATATTCTTTTAAACATTAAAGTCCTGTGCAGCAGAAGTTCATAAAGGCTTTAAGACCTAGCAAAGGTTAGAAATTACCACCATGGTCATAATTATCTCAAAAGCTATTATAAGGTGATTGCTAACCTTAAAATAGCACTTTTTCCAGGGCTCAGAGCCAGGCACAAGTGCAACCTTATGATAAACCTGGGGACATACCTCCTTCTTTCCTAAGGGAGTTTATTTGTTTCTAAGTATAGGGACTTCATTTATACAGAAACTTTATCTTTTTGCTCACTTTACTAGGAAGGGAATATGAAGCTTAAGTGGATGATAAACTGAGGTGATGACCTTTACTCAACACCCAGTTATCTCCACAGCAATAAAAAAGAGAAGCCGCCTCCTGCGGAGGACGCGGATCCAGCTCTGTTCCCAGCACTGCCTGACATTCACTTGTCCAAGCTTCAGAGTGGATCCAGCGTACAAATGCAAGCTTGAGGAAACGGATGAATAATTTCAAATGCTCCTGCAGAGCTATCCTTTGGGCATTTGCTATGATTCATCTTTTTTCTATGAAAAAAGGTAAATAAAAGTTCATTACAGCTAAAATTAGAGGCCTAGAAAGTTAAAAAACAAGAAAAAATGTCTTTTATCATCATTTTCATTTGGACATCACTCCTGCCAAGGCTTTCAGACTTCTCAGGCATTTTCATCCTTAAGCTTCATCTCTGTGAAATTACAGCCTTTTAAGGAATGCCTCTGGTGATGGGGCCAGAGAGGGACAAGTGGCCACCCAGACAGCGCCATGCCATGTGTCCTATGTGCGCATGGCTCTGATCCTTGTGATGAGTAACCAGGCCTTTGCCTGGCAGAGGGGCTGGGGCTGTGCAGCTCCATAATGGCTGTGTGTGAGAGCCCTCGAGTGTGTGTGTAGTGAGGGCAGGAAACGCCCAACAAACTCATTCCAGAAAACAGAACACTGGAATTGGAGCCCCTGCCCACCTGCCGCCTTGTGCTGCAACCCTAGGAAGATGCAGGGCTCAGAAGACAGCACCTTTTTCTCTATTTAGGGCTTGTTACTTGCACTGAACCCCTTCTCACGGTTTCTGATGAGGATCCGGGTCTCAGGACTCCCAGAGTCCATCATACATGAGCACAGGGTCTGGCTCTCCTGAGTCAGCCGGGCCCACACCCCTCCCTGAGCACCCAGCCTGCGTTCAGCAGCAGGTTCAGCACCCACAAGGAAAGGCAGCAGAGCCCTCTCGCTCTCTGAAGTCATCTCCACTGTGGCCCCTTCTGCCCCTCTTCAGTTGTCTGTGCCTGTCACATGTGGGCAAGTGCCCTCAAAGTGACTGTGTGCCCCGCTGCTGCCAAGTCCCACAGGAAATCACTTTCCTCCAAGTGGGCCTAGGAAAGTCCTCACACTGTGATCACACTATGCAAAACTGTCCTTTCTCTGCAAGGAGAAGGCAGCCCCAGCAGGGACAGTGCCTCCGAGCAGCTCCCTTTCATTTGCGGCCACATCTGATCCACCTTTCAGCACACAGCAAACACACGCTGAACACAGAGCCAGCATCAAAGGGCCAGACCTCCTCACCCCCTCTGGAACTCCGCAGCCTTTGTTGTCTCCGGAGCTGGGTGGTTATTGAACTTAGCAGACCTGCTGGGCCTGGAAAGTGAAAACACCCTCCGCAACCAGCAGGGGTGGAGCTGTGTGCCTGGGAGATAGGGCCGAGCCTCTGCAGGCCTGGCGGTTGCCATGGCACCGTGAAACCAAGATCATTCCTTATGAATGTCACTGAGGTCTGTGACTAAAGTTGTTTATGAGTCGAAAGTCTCATGAAACTACAGGAGGAAGCGATGACTGTACCTCAGCAAGTGGTGGGAACACAGAGTGAGAGAGGTGGCCTTCAGATTCGACATGTGCAGTGAGACAGGCTAGCTGGCTGGCATTGTGTGGGTCGCTGTGCAGGAGATAGGGAGGGAGGAGGAGGATTTCTCATCCTCTGCCGGCCCTCTGCAGCTCAGAAATACTGCACAGTAGCAGCCCTGGGCTCAGACCCACCAGCCTCTGACCCACCTGCTTCTTTACTGTTCTGGGATCCACAGGGCCAGAGAGGCTGTGGCCACTCCATTGCTTAAGGGGGAGCAGAGGCAGCAGATAGCAACGCCCCACTGAAGTCTGTGGAAATCTTAGCAAAGAAAAGGCACAAAATGATGATTTTTTTCTAGGGACCACGTGTGGGTGTTTGTTCTATTTCTGGAATATTTCCTCTATCACAGGGCAAAGGACATTTCTTCTGACATTTGGAAGATGAAGTATGAGAGATAAAGATCAACAGGTTTCTCCTAAAATAAACAAGGAGAGTAAAGAAGGAAAAAGTGGTGGTGTGGCACAGACATCCCTTAACCCTCCTCCTCCCTGTACAGCAACACATCTTGGGTGAGGGTGGGGACAGCCATGGCATGCAGGAGGGGGGCCCTGCCCACATATTGAGGGAACACAAACCCTTATCGCTGGACTTAAGACTGGCTCTAGGGAAGGACTCCCTCCTGCATTCTTACAGGGCTTCAGCACCCCAGAGTGTGTGGAATATTCTTCCTTTAACACTGGGCACTAGGACAGCTCCAGGGGCTCCTGCAGGGCCCACACTGAAGCACACTTTGTCCTCCTATGCCCACACTGCCCAGCCCACTGGGGTGCCTTACCTCAGACACGGTGCAGCTGAGCTGGAAGATCTGCCCCTCGCCTTCCACCTGGCGCACACACAGTTTGCAAACCAGCTCCACCGTGTTTGGGCTAAATCTCTCCAGAGTGAAGGTGCAGTGGAGGTTTCTCTGAGACCCACTCCAAATGTGGTAAAAAGGAATTTCCTAAAAGACAGAGAAATGCTCGTCACAGATGAGGGACTAATGGTAACAGTGCCCATTGGACCCTGCTGCCAGGCAGCCTTCTCAGCATTACACATATCACCTTGCTTGATCTTTCTAACAGCCCAAAGTGCAAGTCGATCCCACCTCCATATTCATATGAAAAAGCTCAGCCCAGAGAGGCAAATGACTCACCCAAAGCCACACCTCTAGTCAATGGCAGAGCTGAGATTTGAACCCAGAAAGTCAGCATCTAGAATAAACATGCCCAACCAGTCTTTCATTTGCAAAAGGGGAAAAAAAGGAGAGAAATCTATTATAACAATCTTTTAAACAGCTTAAAAAGTTCCCAAAATAAAATGCACACACCATCATCGCTCATTAAATGAGTCCCTACAGTGCCATTCTGGAGAGAAGCAAAAGAAGCCTGGAGGCTCCGGCAGTAATCCTGGTCCTTTCTCTCATGTTTCTGTCCCCTCTCCTCTTGGGATGGGAAGCCAAAGCTCACGTAGCTGGGATCTGCAGGCTCGCTGAGCTGCCACAGAAAGTTCCTGGTCTAAAGAGCTCCAACCCCTAACCGGCATTGATTTCCTGGGAATCCAGGCCACCTCCTGGAGCCCATCTAGGAGCCTTGTTGCCATCAGATGCAGGCTAACACTTGGAGGAGGGGAGGCTAGGGGCACGCAGGAGTGCCAAATCCAGCACGATCAGCAACGCCTTGCTCTGCCCTGTTCAGGGCAAGTTCCTAACCTCTCCACGCCTTGGTGTTTTCAAGTGCAAAACAGAAGGCTGAAGTAACTAAATCACAGGCCTGCTAGGGTTAAGAGTGAGAAATCTAGCTATCTAAGCGTGCCTGTTGGCTGGAAAATGCTCAGACAGGGTTAGTGGAACATAGTCCATGTTGACTTCTTTGATAAAACAGTACTCATCAGGACTGCTTAAAGGAATTAGGAAAGGAAAGATCTTCAGGACTTTTAGACAGTGCCAACAGAGAAGAAAGAAGAAATAAGCCAAGCAAGAGATGTCATGTGACAGTCAGAAGCCTGATCTCTCCTTCTGGGCTGAGCTGGCAGAAGGGTGTGGCATTTGAGGATGGTGTCCCTTGGGAATCCCTCTGCTGGAGCTGGGGACATACTGTGTTCCCTTAGGTCTGAGAGTCAGGGCTCACTGATGTGGACCTGAAAGTAGCCACCAGGGGCACTGTGGGGCTTCGCCTGTGAGGTCGCAGGGATTGAAGCAAGGCCATCTGCAGATGCTGGCCTGAGGAAGGCCTGGGGACAGGCAGCCCTCTTAGTTGCAGGCTGACACAGCTGGTGACCCCACAGTCCTGTGAACTTTCCACAAGCATGGCCTGTTTATGCCATTTATTTCATTAAATCCTAAGTTTCACTGCCACTGACATTTCAGTTCCCAGCAGGGTGCCCCTCAGTCAGGGCGCTGTCCTAGCAGGATCAAAGCTTCATTTCTGTCACGTCACAGGATTAAGTTTGAAGCTGTTCTTATCATATCAGTCAACATTTACTATGAAAGTTAATTAAGATGATGGAATTGGAATTCTCTTATTTCTCAAAATAAAGCAATAACAGTACTCTCTTTCTTATGGTTCTGGGGATTGAATTCAGAGCTCAGTGCATCCTAGGCAAGTCTCCACCATGGCCCTAAATACCCAGCCTCTTTTCTTTCCTTTCCTTTGAGACAGGGTCTTGCAAGTCCCCCAGGCTGGCTTTCACTTAGCAGTTGTTCTACTTCAGCTTCCTTTGCTGCTGAGATTACAGGCACTGGACAGCACCATGTCCACTGAAAGTACATTATTATAGGTAGAATTTTCTTTAAAGACATTCATCACATAAGCCTATCAAGTACTTTTTGAAAAAATCCTGAACTAGCCCAAACTGTTTTGAAGAATGAATACTGGTGTAGGAGTAATTTTATGAAAAGAACTTTGTTACACACACACACACACACACACACACACACAGTCTTTTTCTTGATTCTTTTGTTTAGGCTTACCTGATATTTAGCCAGCAGTTTGCTCTTCCAGAGGGAATGGGCAATGTCATGGATCGACAGGCGCAGGTTGTGGGTGCTGCCTTTGAAATGAAGAGCCTTGGGGTCTTCTAAGAGCTGTCCTCCCATCTGTCTCTCCAGCTGTAAGACTTCCTACAATGACATGCCCCACACAAGTCACACTACCACGCTGTCTCACATCGATTTCTCCTGGGTGAGTTTTGTCACCTCTGGATGGACACCTGGGATGTGAGTCTGGCCACCATGGCTTTCAGGGGACTTAATCAAATAGAGGGCAATAACAGCCCAAAGCCCACACTAGAGAAGGTTCAGTGAAAGAAACAACAGGTAAAAAATACATAAATAGATATGAAGTAGATACTTCAGTTAATTTTTAGGCAAAGGGGAAAATAATTTAAAGACAAACTCAGATACTGGATTTGATAAAACAACAAATACTTAGAATGTGTTTCAGACATTTAGTTATTTATGCACAGAAATAAAATCATAAATATTTGCTTAATATCAGCCATTGCATAGCTAATTACTAAAAATTAGAATATGCCCATTATATGTTCTATTAGAAGAAAATACTGTTACAAATTAGCAAGGTTTTAAAACAACAAATATTGAACTAAATGGTTACTTGAATTGAATCTAAACAAGAGTGCTTATTTCTCAAGAAGTGTAGCTGATGAAAAAATTGCTCAATACTTATAAAGATATAACAGGAAGACAAATTCTATATATGCTTCCATTTCTCAAACTAGCTAATGGGAGTTAATGAAGCATTTGCAACTGCAGCTGCAATTATCCAAATAGCAGCATGCCACAGCTCTCAATGAGTAGACTATCCTGGGTAGCCTTTGCTGCTTCAACCAGCCCTGAACTTCTCCTATGCCATATATAGGAAGGGACCTAGGACAGTAATGGATCTTGTTAAAAGAATAAAAGTAAAATTCGACTTTCATCAGTGACATCTCAGGGAGTTCAAGAACACACGTGTTCTCGCAGAATGCCACCCTGCCACCTGCACACACTGAGCACCTACCAGAACACCCTGGAATGATGGATTATAGCAGAGAATTTCTGGTATGGTAATAAGCATTCTTGCTACCCAGGAATGTTCCCACAGTGTGTGTTGAACACAAGCAAACCCACATGTCTCTCAGCAGCTATACAGCTGCCCAAATTCAGGGATCAGATGAAAGTAGTGCATTTGAAGCTGTCTCTTCAGTGCTGCGCAGCCTCCATTGTCCGTGGGTCAAGCCACTATCAGGAGCAATGCGAGCTACTGAAAGGTCTTATGCAACAGAGGCAATCACAGGATAATGTGGACTGTGGTCTCAGACGGGGAGTCTCCTAAACTGTGTCTGATGGAAACCGCAAGGCAGGAGTCGCCTGACGCACAGCAGCAGCCTGACAGTACTGACCTGCTCTCCACCGTGGCTGGTGAGTAGTAGTTATTACTTGTGACAGGTGCCTGACCAGTCAGCCAGCCATTCTGACTCATGTGTCATATTTTGTGCCCTGACTGCTGTGCCTGTATCTGTAGGTCTCGAGGGTCCCCAGTCGGCCACACAGATCCACCGAGCTCTGAGTCACACACTGTCTTCTCAGAATGCCTTCCTGACACTGCACAACCCATTTCTGGGCAAGAACATGGCCATGTGAGATGGAAAAGAATAAGAAAACTGAGGGTTAATTGTAGTTTCTTTGGCTCCAGCAGGAAGGCATAATGAGCTTATGTTGATCATGTTCAATGTCTAGTTAGCATAATAAAGAAAGCTGATGTTCCCAGTGAACCTGGCACCTGACAAATTTTAAAGCTAAAATGATGTTTGTTTATAAGCCATTAGAAGAAAAGAAACATAATTAGAAATCTTTGAGATTACAGTCATGCCAATCAATCAGTTCTAGCTGCTTTCCAGTATGCCCTAATTACCTCATCAAGACGTCTAAAGAGCAATCGATAGTAATTATCTGATTACTATAGATCTTCATTACATCCAAATTATCTCCCTGGGATGTCTAAAAGAAGATGCATTGTTATCCGGAAGGTAATTGTACCCAACAATGTACAATCCACACCCCATCTCTACAATCGACATAGGCTATCACAGGAGAGACAGCACTATCGGTTTTCTTGGCAGGGAGGGCCACTGAGGGAAACCCTAACTGCCTGTTGGCCATGACCTTGAAGTCAGAAAATCTAATACCACATTTTGAGTGCAAAGTCTGCTTAGAGTTGGCCTCGGTAAAAGGCTTGGGCCTTGTATTTTTCAGCCTTAACCTCAGATGTCACAGTGAAAAGTTCTCCTAGTGAGGAAAACATCTACAATGGCTTGGATTCCTTTTTTGAGAGAAAGAACAAAGTAAAAAGTGCTGTGTTAGTAAGAACAGGGCTAGAGACCACACACGGTCCTTATCCTAACCTTGCCCGGTCTCCCTTAACCTGGAGGAATGTGAAGATGCTATTGAGAACTAAAGGGAGTGTGACCCCATCCCGGCCTAACTGGACATGAACCCTCGATGACAGACCGGCTACTCATTAGGATGCACAGGCACAGAGATCAGAGGGCTCTGGACAACCTGCTTGCACATGTCCATCAGCCAAGAACAGGACTGTGCATTTTACACCTGTATGTCATAGGTTAGCTTATACAAACTTAACACTGAGATGAGATATGGAAACTGATGTACTAATAGTGTCTTATTTGGTCCTATTTGGCTCCAGTGGTTCTTTGGGTTCAGACTGTGTGAACTTCAGTCTAGAGATTCTTGGCCCACTACTGTCTTCTCCCCAGAACCTTACAGAGCAATCAGTTCAGAAGCACAAAAAGGATCTTCATCAAACTTAGATTTAACATGTGTGCCTATAAAGTAACAGCTAGTTGCATTACACTTATGATGTTTATCTTCAAGAAAACATAACATACAGATGAAAGATAAAAATCAAATCATTAAGGGAATTTAAGCATAAATTAATGACAATAAATAGATAATACAATTCATTGGCAAATAAGACAACATAAAACAGCACAGGAGTAGAAGATGATTTCTTACACACAGTGAAACCCATATTTAGTTTTACATTAGAAGACAGATGTGACCAGCCCATGTGACAGGCTGGTGTCTCAGGCTTTGTTTTCATACTGTCACAGTGTTAAGTGGTATAGTTTAGGATATCTGAGATATTCAGCAAAAGATTATACTTGAAATATGCTGTAAATTGTACTTAAAAAAACTTGATTTTCTGTATTTTTCCATGAAGTCATTTTGGAATGAAGAAATCTAATACCACATTAATATATATGAGATACAAAAATGTAAGAGGACATAAAAATAACAGACACACAAATTCATACAATATGTTCACAGTTAAGTGTTTTTCCTTTCCTTAATCTTCTTGGGAACATTCCTTCAACATGAATGAGACAAGTGAGGCTAGTAACCATGGGCGGGGGTGGGGGTTCTCTGGAGCATGCAGCCAATTCTGTCTGTGCCTTGCCCTGGCCCTTGGGGGCAAGGTGACAACATGTGAACATGTAATCATGCTGTGATGTGCTTGCTATAAAACAGCTTCTAGGCAGACTGCTTTTGGATCAGAAAGGTTAGGATTTTCCATATACTTTAAAAAAGAACAAGAACCACATAAATTTAAGGTCAAAAGATTCAGGAAGACTTAAGAGAAATGCTGTGACCTCAGAAAGAAATGCTATCATAAAAATCAGGATCATTTGGCTCTTTCAGAACTATAAATATCTCCGTCCTTTGCAGGTGTTGGCTACTGGCCTCCCTGTTCAGAGACTTGTCTGGCCCTGCAAAATACACCTGTTGCCTCACTGGTTACATGAGAAGGGAGTCCTTGTCATCCACAGCAATACACACAGAGACGTCTGCACATGTGTAGTGGCAGCACCACCAGACGTGGGGTCCTCTGTCTCACAGCCTGGTTTCCCTGGGGATAGGAGCCACCCTGTGGGATGGGCCACTTCTCAAGAGCAGTACAGGCCTGAGTGAGGGCTGAACTGATCCCCCAAGCCTGTGAAGGATTGCCCCAAAGGCAGAGACAAGGGATCACATAGAAGAAACAAGCAGCTTGCACAATAGCCAATTAAGCCAAGACATTATCCATGCCAAGCCATTAGTCTGTGCTCTTGAGAGCCACAATAAATCCATGCTGTTTTAAAGGCCTGTGAGCATGAATGGGGAAGCTCTGGCCTGCTCCCAGTACTCTCCCAGGCTCAGGGCCTGCATGATCTGTCACCGGCAAAGAGGCCTGACAGCAAGAGGTGACACTGTAGACACACCCGGAAGCATGCTGACTCCTGCACCTACCTCTTTTTCATCCCTCACTCTGTGCTCTTTGCAATGGTCAGGGAGAGATGAGGTGTACCTCTTCCACCTCTCTTATCCTGCTTCTCCTCCCAGTCCTCCTGAGCCCAGGGAATGCTGCTTAGTGACAGACTCACAGCTGCTGCTCCCCAGGAGACAGAATGGCACACGCAGAGCCTTGAAGGACATCTTTAAGAATATGCATCTCAGCCTACAGCAGTTAGACTGAAGCTGGATCCACAGCTGGAAATTCAGACATGGTACTGCATCCTGTGAGGTTCACAGGCTCAGAGCCGCTGTCGTGGTGTGGGCTCTTTGTTCTCAACAGAAATACCGAAGTATGGATTGGCTGCATGTATTTCTCCCAAGCACAGGGGACCAGCACCAGGAATGTGAACAGGTGTGGGGGACCCGGTGAAGGATTCACTGCGGCTCTATGCAAGGGGGAGAGCAAAGTAGATGGCAAGGAAACAGCGGGCAGCTGGCTCAGCTACTCCCTGCTTGGCTCTGCCGCTCAGAGGCAGAACCCCGCCCATCAGGGCTCTGTCCATGGTGCTGACCGAGCCCACCAAGCACTGCTGCCGCCTGTTTCACATCCCTGAGTGGATCTTCTGAAACACAATGACCCAGCATACATCAGAGTGCCACGTGCATTAAACCTCAAAGGAGCCACCCCCAGGGATAATTCTGAGTCCTATTTAGAAGAATCACATCTCTCGGCAGAGTTAGTGGAACCTACTTTGCTTCTATTCATTCTTCAATGCTCTGCTGAAGCCTGCCCTGGTCATTTGGGGATTCAGAAGTTTCTTGCATCT